TTTTCGAGGTATTTTGGGGCTTAATTTTCGAACTCAGGCTCAAGGGGCAATTTCTTCCATTTTGCCCTTTACGGCAGTTAGGCCCGTAGTAGCTGCCGGAAGAAAAAAGCCCCTACATTGAGAAAGGGATATTCCTATGTTGAAAGCATAGAAGAATTGCTTCATTCATTGAAAGATAACAACTATGAGATGCAGGCCTTCACAAACTATCCCATCTGGTTAGATGAAAATTTCTATATCAAGTTTTCTTATTAAGTGAAGCAGTTTATCATTTTATTTAGGAAATTTTGTTTTGTTAGGTACGAGATGAATGAGGACAAATTAAACATCTCAAAATATTTTTCTTCGACGTTCTGTTCATGTATAAGTAGTACGTTAAGTGTTTGCATTTTACTTTTAGGATTCTCTTCCATCTGTAGCTGCACAAGCACATACACATTGTTGATGCCGAAAAATAGTTCGGTAACTTGTCCGCTCAATTTAGTGATGTTGGGCCTTCAGTATGTTCTGGGCCTCAGTAGAGCACGTGATCTGCAAGATAGCAAACGCTCGGTAAGACCTAAGGCACCGGTGTGGTACCGGCCGAAGGCTCTCCGATGCTTAAGTAAGTACGGATTTAATAAACTTGAACTGACAAATCAATAGGCAGTGTGCCGTAAATTCTAATCCCCTTATTTTGGGGAATTGTGCTCCTTTTATAAGCCTTGGGAGGTGTGCTTATTGTATAGATTTTAGATGTGGGACTGTAGACATCGATTGTGGGCCTGCCACATGTCTTGGGGAAGGAGGTTACCCTAACCAAGGAATCGATAGTCTGGGTGCCGAAGGCTACCATAATCAGGCACAATCTTGTCCATGTGTCTGATTCTTATTGCATGTTCATTTGGTATAAACACACATGAATGTCTCAATGCTCTGCCTGTGCACTTTTTTTTTTTTCCCTTCAGGGAAGAGGAAGCCTGATCCGGAATTCTATTTGGAATTCTATTTGGCTTCTATGTTTTGTATTCGATTGAATAAAAGCCAATTATATATTTATTTCAGTTTCTTTTTCCTTCTTTTTGGTTAAGAAAAAGGGACAAGGATCAACATCAACAAAACTTATATCATGCAAAGTAACAATAGGAAGGGGGGAGGGAAAGACGTGTGGAGAATCACTTACTGTAATATCACGCTTCTTTATTTTTCATCCATTATAATTAAATATCATTATCAGAATGACTAGGTTTGCTTGACGCATCACTGTGAGTTTAATCTCATGCCAAAACAATGATTATTGTTAAAACCTTTACAAGATTCCTTTTGATCCTTAAAATCGATCTGGCAACTGAATGTTGAGCCTTCTAAGCCACACTGAGTGAAGCACCATGTGAAATACATCATAGGGCTTAGCGGGTCGGTTGAGCTCAAAATGCCTTCTCACTTGCATCACCCTCTTCTGCAATTTCAAGTACTTCGAAAATGGAACAGCCTTCAGTATTGACTTGATATCTGGTATTCTCTTGGGTGGAATTTGTATAGAAAACTTAGTCCAATCAAGAACATCATCAAAGGGTACGGCATAGTAATCGGAAATGAGGACCGGGACACACCCTGCATACATTGCCTCCACAACCCTAGGACTTGCCACTTCAGAACCACTTGGGCACAAGCAGAACTTGGTTTGCCCCATTAGTTTGTGGTAGTTCATTTTCTCAGGAAGTTTTTCATAAACTCGAACTTCATCATCTTTTTCCTTCCAATGCTCAAACAAAATGCTCCTGATGTCTCCATGGGCTGCACCAGCAAAGAAGGCAAGGATTGGACGCTGAGAAGGGCGTTCGCCAAAACGGGGCGGTCCAAGTCCGTAGGCTTTGAGGTTATATTCTGGCAGTGAGACGTCTCTGGTAGGCTTGAATCCTTCAGAGGTGTTTGCATTGCATAACACCTTCATCAGATTCTTGTAGGGCCTGGGATCATCACGTGAGATAAGTGGCGCCTGAGAAAAGTCAATCAATCAAATAAATTAATAATAACATTATTGCTCCCCTTATACCCGAGGGAGGATTACATTAGAATAGTTTAGGGCAGCATGACGATTGTCAGAAAAGAAAAGAACAATTTTGACAAATATAATATAAGCTTTACCCAATCATGGCATGAGACAAAAAAATGGTCGGCTCCAGCGCTCCTATTCCAGTAAGGGTATTTATCAGAGATGACATAAATGTAGTCGGTGAAGACACGGTCGAGTCGATGGAAAAATGTTTGGTGTTGAGGTCTGTAGAGGAAGTCGGTGATCTTGGACACGCTGAGTGGCAGGAAGAATGCATGGGCCTCATCAGGATGTTGGGCCATGAATGGGCTTGGCCCACTTTCCATCTCGAAAATAAACTGGCCTTCGATGGAGTAGATGTACGTGGTGGGCCCATTGTGGACCATGGGTACCTCTCCTTCCCTGTAGGCCCATATCTTGAACCTTTTCACCATCTCTACGTGACTCCTATTTTTAACCCAAAACAGCATAACAAATTACACTCCTTGAGTTGAGTCTACTCCAAAAGAGCAACAGCAGCGTCCACAAGACAAGACAAGGTCGTATAAATATAAGCATAATGCCAGTTGTTACAACAAATGTGGACCGCTCTGGAAAGAGAAACTTGGAAGTGGACTTGCTTGCGAGGGACAACCAAGAAAAGGAAGCGTGCACTCAACAGCACAGAAAATATATTATAATAACATTTCCAAAACCGACCGCTAAAAAAAATCCACTGGTTTTGCATGTGGCAAGCAAACAAAGGATAGGATTCAAACACCACCGGCTATACTTAATTTAGAACAGAAAAAAGAAGAAGACTTAACTGATGAAAGGCATAGGGATTTCTGTAGACACTTCCTGTGGGGATGTAAATCTCGTTGCTGTTAGACGTGCAATTCTTCGTAACAATAGCTTTGCGGATAATCGCTCTTGCTACGCTCAACTCTTGTTCAATCCTCTCTGTTTTGCTCTGGTTCTTCTGGACATACACACACACATATATATATATTTAAAGTAAGTTTTGGTATTATTGCCAAAATGACTTCTTTTTCTTTCTTTTTTGAAAACAAAACAAAAACAAACAAACAGAGAAAAATGAAACTTAAATGAATTAACTAGTGTTGTCAAAGGTTGCGTACTTTGATAGTGGTATGAGTGAGTTTAGGCGCAGAGGAAGTTGACGGAGGAGACTGATGGCGCTGAAACTCCAGCAGTGCTTGGGATGGGGAAGGTGCAGGTGCAGGTGCAAAATGCAAGGCTCTGTGGTTGTCGGTGGTAATTTGTTGTTGGTGGTGAAAAGATGATGATGAGGAGGTGGGCGAAGAAGATAAATTGAGAGACTGATGGTGTTGTCGGTTTAAAGGAGAGAACAAGAGGGCTACAAACAAGAGGAGGATGAGAGTCACAGAGACTAAATATGGAGAACGAAAATCCAGGGCTGGTTCTGCCATGAAGGAATTCATTCAAGACGAATACGAAGGTTTACATCAGCTGCAAGAGTGAGTGTCAAACAACCACTCAGGCCAAATTTGGTCCTCTAGTCTCTACTCTATCTCGTATTTATACATTAGAATTTAGAATGGTTTTTCTTCAAAAATAGAGTAAGGATTTTTAGGTCTAATGGTCCTTAATTTTGACCCGATTCCTATTTTGGTCTTTTAATTTCCAAACTCATTCCCGTGGTCCTTCAACTTCACTTTTGTTAGAACAAATTGTTATGTCGTCAATTTTATTATTATTTATATTGCATGGGAAAATTATATTTTTTCATTATTTTTAATTTCCACTATCTAAATGTTATTTTTAAGGGTTAATGACCTAAATGGTCTTCTAACTATTGCTCCAGTATTATTTTGGTCCATCAACTAAAATTTTCAATTCAAACGTCATTAAACTTTTTATTTTGTACCAAGATGGTCCATCCGTCAAAGTCTGTGTATTATTCCATGAAATCGAGGAACAAAACCGTATTTTTAGGTGAATATCCTCCTATAAAAGGGTTATTGATCCCAATGGTCCCTCAATTATTGCTCCAGTATCATTTTGGTCCACCAACTTAAATTTTCATTTGAACCGTCCTTCAACTCTTTTTTTTTTGTATCAAGATGGTCCTACTGTTAAAGTTTATCAATTTTATTGTTAAATTGAAGAGTAAAAATGTCTCTATGAATTAAAATAGTAATATATAATTAAAAATTAAAGGAAACTATTATAAAACTTAGGAAATTTTAAAAAATTGAATCTCACTAGCCACATGGCTTTTTCTTTTTTCGTGAGACTGACCTAACAATTAATCATAAAAAATTATCTATTGTTTAAATTAATTAAAATCACATAAATATAAAAATAAAAATAAAACAAATTTTTTAAAAGAGTAAACAATAATTAAAAATTAAAGGAAACTATTATAGGAACTTATACCTAATTTTAAAATTGAAAAAATTGAATTTCACCACCAACATGACTTCTTTTTTATGACATGGACTTAAAAAGTAATATTTTTTTTTCTCTATTGTTTAAAATAATTAAAATTTTTAAAATAAGATAAATACAAAAATAAATAACAATAAAATTGACGAACTTTGACGATAGGACTATCTTGATACCAAAAAAAAAAGTGGAAGGACGGTTCAATTGAAAATTTTAGTAGGTGGATCAAAATGATACTGGAGCAATAGTTGAGGGACCATTTCAGCCATACCATTCGATAGAGCTTCTCAAAAAGTCACATATACCCTTCAAAACTCAGTCACGTGGCCATCGCGTGATCAGAAGTGGCGGAATCTATCACGGATGGACCATCTTGGTACAAAATAAAAAGTTTAAGAACGTTTGAATTGAAAATTTTAGTTGGTGGACCAAAATGATACTTGAGCAATAGTTGGGAGACCATTTAGGTCATTAACCTTATTTTTAAAACAAAAAACCTTCTTCCTATCCTTGTCATCACAAAGAGGGTGGGTATGGTTTGGGTGAGAGTGTGGGTTATGGGAGCATTATCAGTTGTTGTCAAGGTGGCGAGTTAATTGACTCGGTGTCAGGTGGAGGTTGTCCATGATTTTGTTGTATTGGAGGAAGGGAGATATATCATTAGTCGATTGGTGGTGGGTTTTAATGGGCTTGGCTTGGGAGGGAGGAAGATAATGGGTGGGGAGAGTTAAGTTGCAGCTGTGGGGGAGTTAGGGATGACAATGGATCGGGTAGGGGTCGGGTATGACAATACCATTCTCGTCTCCGCTATACATCCCTGCCCCAGTCCCCGAACCAATCCCCATTTAATAGGTTTCAGAAAATTCCCATCCCCATTCCCATCGAGGGACTATTCCCCATACCAGCCCAGATTCCCCAATTTTTTTGCATAAAAAAAATTTATCATACATTTTTATGACAACCGATTTATGAATGAATCTGGTAGAATCAAACCTGACCCGAATAGAATTTGATAGATTCATGTTTTTGGGCGAGCCCAAGTTTTATCTGGTATTGGGTGCTCTAATTAAGGTTGGGCTTCAGACAATCCGGGCTGATTAAACATGTTTTTGTACTGAAGTCGGCCCAAAATGATTAAACATGTTTTCAGTAATTGGGCTTCTAATGGCAACTTATTTTTATTTTTATTTTTCAAAAAGGCCTACAACAATACAAACCCAATTTTTTTATTTTTTTTTATAAATGATAATATTTGACCAATAATTTTTGGGTGGATAGTATTTGGTCTATAAGTTTGGCCGTGCGTGCGTGGATAGTATTTTACCCAATTTCCCAAAACAAATAAAAGAAAAGAAAATGTGAATCTCTCGCATGCATAAGTGTGACACATCGTAACAGTAATCGACGGAGGAGGATGGCTTTTTATTTATTATTATTATTATTTTTTTAATATTGTAAAACATTAAACAAAAAATAAATATGGAATCTCAATGAAACAAGTCAGGGATTGAGAGATGGTGAGGGAGAGACAGATTGTTCATGGCTCTGTTCTTGAAACTACCCGCGATCCCTTTCCCGGTAAGTCTAAGGCACGGCTGCTCACTTCAATTTCGTTCCACAGCAACACCAACATCAACATCAACATCAACAAGAATGGCTCTCTCTCCCCACAATGTCTCTTTTCATACCCATACGACCACTCAAAAGCTTCCCATACTCCTCTTCGACATCATGGACACCGTTGTTCGCGACCCTTTTTACCATGACGTCCCTGCCTTCTTCAGGTACCCAAACTCAATTT